AAAAGCTATCCCGGAAGCTTTCCCCTATATAACAAAGCACACAACTCATGATAAAGAGTTGGATTTCTATGTGTTGTTATTGAGGAACAGTCATGCATGGATACAGCAGTCTTCATCACAGGAAAAGGTGTCCTTAGAAACTCAGCTTCATGCCAAATGATTGGGTGTCCATAGACTAAAAAGCGTACAGAACTCTTTGTATCATTTGTATTACAAATATTTGCACTGTGAAAAAGAAAAAAGTAACATTTCTAATTCACCTCATATAAGTATTATACAGAAATCTCTTTATTGTGAAAGTGCAACTTTCACAATTACATGATTGTATATAATTGCATTAAAAAATAAAACAATTTAAAACTTGAATTGAAGTCCACTCAGTCTACATATTTAGCCAATCATTAAGACAAACTTGTTCACATTTATGGGAGACAATGCTGCCAACTTCTTATGTCGCCTGAAAGTGAGAACAGGCATTCTATGGCACTGTTGTAACTGGTGTTTCAAGGTGTGCCAGATGTGCTAAACATTTGTGGGCCCCTTCTTGCTTCAACCACCAATCCACAGAACATGCTGTAATGCTCAAGTCTATGTTTTACAATATTATGAGTCTGATCTCCTATTAGGTTGAACTTTGCACTTCTGTAAGTTTTAAAGGAACTTATAAAGGGAGTTCTGTATTAAAACCAATATTAATCTTTTGCAAATCCAGTAGCTTAGGTTTACCAGAAAACATTCTTAGTTGAGTATTTTAGACTCTTCATATTGAAGAGTGATGGTTAAACTTCCCTCTTCATATACCTTTATCCCTTACAAACAAAAACTGTTCTCCAAACTAAGAACTGCATTTTGAGGTTACTTAAATGTAAGCAGATTCAACTGTCCTATTCAGCTTCCCAAGACTGTCCTGTCTGGAAGGGTTATTTTTTAAAAATTAAAACAGTTCAGTTCCTGTATTTATATTGATTTTAACTTTAGGGCTGAGCCTTCATTTTTCTATAACTAAATAAGAATGCAGATACAAGAACTAAGTGACATACAGCAGTGAGCTTTAAAACGGGGCCCAGTTGGGGTGGCAGTCATGATGTGATAGCTGCAGGGTATCATACTTTCTGAAGATGAACAGTTATTTGAACTTTCTTATTTGAATTGTTTAGAATTCCTTACCAGCAAACTATCGCTTCATTGAGCATCATGCGTTTTTTTAGCGGATAATACAGTTGCCTTAATAAAAAATGGAGAGAGGGATTTTTTTGCTATAGTGTTCTTGTGCAATTTTACTTCCTGTTTTTACCTACAGATGTCGGAGAAATGTTAAGGTTGTCTTTTAAACTGCATTTTTAAATGTAGAACAGAGAACATGAAGTGCTTCTCTGCACATGAATTCGAGATGGCTGTTAGATGGCACTGTTCTATACATTCATACTGTATTTTTTGTGTGACAGCTTCCCTTTGTCATTCCAACAGAGTGTTTGCCTGCTCTTCATTAATGGAAAACATTTGATACTAGGAAAAATCATTATCATTTTACATTTTAATAGGCAAATCAATTACCAATTCAGGTAATAAAATATTAGACACTAAAAGCCTGCTAGTCTCATGTTTGGTGTAATGGGGAAGAGCAGGGGGAAGGAAGCATTTTCTGTTGTCATTTTAGGTCACTTAATCTTTTTTATATAGACAGCACAAGAGAAAGTGGGAGATCAAAGAGTTCCATTATAATGGCCTAGTTACAGCACATTGTGCACAAGTACAGCAGAAATAGAAGTAATTGTGATTCATCCTGCCATACCCGTGACTGACAGTTACTGCGTTTCATGCAGTGTTATTGTAGTCACATCAATCCCAGGGTATCAGAGAGACAAGGTGAGTGAGGTAATATCTTTTTATTGCACCAGCTTAAAGAGAGGGGCTTCTTAGTGACGCATGGCTCTTCCTTGGGTCTGGGAAATGTTCTCAGTGTCCTACCTCAATACAAGATTAAACAGGTAGTTTAGTATAAGTAGTTATCCCACAATCTAAGGGATCTCCCTTTAGTCATTGGTCAAAAAAGGGGGTTAGTGGGTTATAGATTATTTTTATTAAGACCAAGCGTTGAGTGTTTGACTACATGGATTCCAGTGTGGAGGGCTGGGTGACAACTAGGTATGTGCGGTCAGGGTGGCTGGAGATGAGGAACTTGTCTGTCTTGTGTGTTCCCCAGATATCTGAGCTGAAGTAAATAGGGTTGCCACGTGTCCGGTTTTGAACCAGACAGTCTAGTATTTGAGCTTTCTGTTTGGGAAACAAATCGAGAAAATATAAATGTCTGGTATTTTCTAAATAAGATGTAATGTAGATTGTCATGTAATGTCAAGTGTGTCCAGTATTTTTGTTGAAACCATCTGTCAACCCAAGAAATAAATGTTACCTGCTTACCTACCTAGTGGCTCTTCAAGGTTTTCTTCCTGAGGAGTTGACTAATTCAGATAAAATCCTAGTCTTATAAACACTCCTGGGAGTTTGAAGAGGCCCCTTTAGCTGGAAGTGTGACTATGCATCTTGGAGAATGTCAGAGTTCCACATGACCTAGACCAGGGCTACTCAACACGAGGCCCATGGGCCACATGTGGCCTGCAGCCTGTTTGTTTGCAGCCCACAGTGTGGTTTGTGTTTATGCAGGGCTCAACACGTGGCCCGTGGGTGGGATCCTTTGAACATGGCCTCCACTAGGAACATGCTCCACAACAGCGAGTCAATATAATGGTCTTCTGCTGATATGCATTGTAGTAGTTAAGTTTCTGGACTGTCATTGCTCATTAAAATGCTGTCATATGGGTGGAAATTGGGTAAATATTACATTTTATTAATATCAGCAAAATGAGGCCTGAGTGTTGTGTGGTCTTGCCTTAATCTTTGTATTCATGCCCGCCAGGGTGAAAGAAGTGATTTGCTTATATTTGCATATATATTTGCATGTATGTGCGCCCACACTTAAGTTGCGGCCCTCGGCATGTGCTGTGAGTATTATTGTGGCCTCCTGGGGCTTCCAAAGTTAAGTAGCCCTGCCTTAGACCCATACTGCACTTGAGTCACTTGTTAAACAGGTTATTTCCATGCTTCATAGAGACTGTTGGAACAAATGTACTTTGAAATTCATCAGTCTCAGTCATCAGGAGATTGAGTTTAAAGTTATAGGCCATGTCGCTAAAATATTTTGGGAGACGTGTTGGGAAATACTGGACTATGGGGATGGACTTTTAGGTGGAAGCCACAAACAAAAGAAGCAGGGAAACGCAGAAGTGGATTTAATGTCAGTAGTGGTTTAAATGCAATGTTTAACAGTGGAACACGGTGTTGTTTAAGAATGTGAGCTTATCGGAGAATCCCTTGACTAGTCGCTCCCTCTCCCCTTTGCTGCCTCTATCAGAGGGGAAGCAGGAGCCGATGCTCGGGGGAGCCGGCTTAAAAGCCAGTTCCCCCCAGCACCGGGGCAAGGAACTAGCGGGGACTGGGTGCTGCACCTCTGTTTTTTAAATGCATTAAGAGCCTATCGGCATGCTGAGATATCTAGTTACTTGACAGGAGGCAATCATATCACTAGCCACAGTAGAAAATCCTTTTGCTAACTTAATTCATGGCAGAAGGAGTCCAGGGTACAGTTTTCCAAAGATCCTAGGCAGCCCTCTGGAAGAGGAGACTTGCACAGACCATCTCAGTCTAGAAGTTGTCTAGACTTAGGTGGAGGACAATAAAGATGCAAGAGCCTGTTACAGACTGATACGAATTAAGCCAAGGGAAGAAGGCTGTAAAGTTTTGAATGTTAACTTTCCTAAATCAGATTCGGATTGTGAGCACTACTGTGGAAACATCATATGCGGAAGCTGAAATTAGAGGAATTTGGAATGTATATAAGATGAAAAATTATAACAGTGAGAATAATCACTGGAAAAACTAAATAAGGGGTTGTGGTGAATTGTCCATCACTGGAAATATTAAAATCAAGATTGGGCACTTTTCTAGAAGATACTTCCTTTAGTTCAACCACAGCTATAGGATTTGAAGCAGGAATTAATTTCAGGAAGTCTTATGCCAGTTTGCACAAAAAATCAAGCTAGATGATCACAATGATCTCTTCTGGCCTTAAAATCTTATGTGTGTGAAAATTAATTAAGACCCTTTCTTTGGATTATACATGGCATTGAAAAGTGGACGTATTAATATTTGTTCTGATTTAAGCTGGGGTGTGAACCCGTAACCAGTTAACTAGTTACCCAGTAAGCATCACCTTTAACAGTAATGGTAATCGTTAACCAATTCTGTGGCAGATTCTGGGTAACGGTTAACCAATTCTGTGGCAGAAGCCACCCCACCCATAGCCTGCCATGAGTGGAGGGTGGCTTCAGCCCCACTGGGCCCTGCTTAGGCCCCACCTGGTTGGGCCTGTGAGCTAGTGGCCAGCCCTCAGGATGCTTGGAGAAGGAGCCCCGCAAGCTGGGATCCCACTTAGTCGGTTAACTGGTAAAACATGTGGTTAAACTAACGTTTGACTGGTTAACTGATTAATCGTGATTTTATATCCCTCATTTAAGCAGGTGTTGTTCCTTAAAGTAGGGCTTTTAATATGAATTTATACTATTGAAGAGTTCAGTACCAATGAAGTAATTCAGTTAAATCATGAAACTGCTATTCAGTCAGTAGGAAAGGATGCACTGTTGAAAGGATGCCCAAGAAAAAGGTATTGTCAGCTAGTGTAGTGTTTGACATGCCTCAGACAATATGTTAGATCTGTAAAATTAGGTACATACTTGTCTTAAAGTGACTTTAAAAAGTATCAACAAAAATATCTCTTGAGAATAGCTCCTAGCTGAAATATGTTAGTGAGAGTTTCTATGGAACTGTTATCTGAATGTGTTTAATTTGCATGCACTTTATTTCAACATTCCTTGTAATTGAAAGATGGAAGTCTGAAAATAGTAATTACAAAAAGCAGAGGGATCATTTTATTATTATTTTCACAGGTATCTTTAGAGGGCTCCTACAAGTGATCTGGAACCATGGTGGCTCTATCCTTGAAGATCTGTGTCCGCCAGTGCAATGTGGTGAAGACCATGCAATTTGAACCATCCACCGCAGTATATGATGCATGTAGAGTTATTCGTGAGCGAGTGCCTGAGGCTCAAACAGGGCAAGGTGAGTCTATAGATGTGTAGCCTCCAAGTCCCAAGTTTGTTTAAAAAAACACCAAAAAGTTGCACACAAGCAATTTTGTTCTGTGAGAGATTTTCCTTCCATTCTCTATGCACCTTTCCTCTTAACATTTAATGTTCTTGTTTGAGTATCGGTTGTTTTAAAAATCCAATTCTTTCAAAGTCTAAATATACTCTAAAACCATAACCATACATGTGTAACTGGTTACAACTAGAGTAGATCAAGTGTCTCAATCACTATTTTAATGAAAAAATGGCTTTGAACAAATCTTTTGTGAAACTTTCAGATCTTCATAAAATGAACTGGTTTTTTTACTTCCAAAACCAAGAAGACTCAGATTTTAGATTTTTCCATTTTGATGAATTTTTTTTGTCATTAAAACTTTCACTTCCTGACTAGCTCTCTCATGTGCAAGTCATGTCCACAGAGCAGCTTTCCCTGTCAGGTTCGCACACACACTTCTTCCATGTTGCCAACCAATGTTTGTAACAGGGCAATATGAGGAAATAAGGGCAGGTGCTCCTCAGAACTGCAGCAAATGGAGACTGCCTGGTGCATACACGGTTGGTGACTTCATCAGGAAATGGGGACGCAATGCATCCCGAGCTGAGGAGGATACTGGGCCAACAGACTACACAAGCATGATTAGAGAGGGCCTTGTGCACAGCAAAAGAACAGTGCTGACATGGTTACAAAAAGACAACTATGTGCTAGCCTGTGCCTACAACGGGCAAATGAATGTTGGTTCCTGTAGTTACTAACCTAGGTTAAACATGCCACATGCAGATACAAACTGTGTTGAGTGCTGCTACCTGACTACAGATACAGTTGAGAATTGTGGTATGGACAGGAAAGGACTCTAGCCAGCCATACTGTAAGACAGGGGTGAGCAAAGGAGCCTCCATGGCCCATATGCGGCCTGCCAAGCCGGTGGATGTGGCCGCTCCCCCTCCCCCAGGCCTGGGTGTGCAGCGGCTAGAGAAAAGCACCAGCTGTTTTAAAACAGCTGGCATTTCTCTCTAGTCACCGTGTGCTCCTGGAGTCAGGGACCAAGAGACCTCGTGTGCTCCCCCGCCACCAGGCCCTGATTGGTTTGGGGGCAGGAGGTCTCCTCCTGTTGCAGCGCCTAGAGGGAACTGCCAACTGTTTTAAAACAGCTGGTGATTCTCTCTGAGGGAGGAACTTCACGTGCTCCCCCACTCCCAGGCCAATCAAGGTATGTGGTGGGGGAGCACAGGAAGTCTCCTGGCCTCCTTCCGCCCCAGGCCTCCACCCCTTCCGGGGCAGCCTGGGGACACTTCAGAAATTTATGAATATAAAGCGAGTGCTGCACACTTTGATTTCTGTGTTGTAATTGAAATCAATATTGAAAATGTAGAAGAACATCCATAAATATTTAATAAATTTCAGTTGGTATTTTGTTATTTGAAAGCAAGATTAATAATGATTAGTTTTTTAGTTAATTGCTTGCGTTAACTACAGTTAATCAACAGCCCTATTTAAACGGATGCTGAATTTGATAAAAACTTACCAATATTAACCACAAGTGTACCATGGCCACAAGTTACAGTCATTAGTATTCATGTCAGTTTGTTGCCATGGTGTACCTGTGATTAATTCAGGTGAGATCAAAGTCAACATCCCTATTAATAATATTGATCTTCAATAGGGCAGTTAATTGACTTGTTGAAGATCAATAGCATTAATAGGGACTTCAGTAGTATAAAGGTATAAAAGTATAAGGAAAGAAGGTTGAAACCATCCTTAATAGGTATGGCAAGTAGTAGGCGCTAGTATAACCTTTTGTAAAAGCAAAGACCTAGTCTTAAGGCAGTGGGATACGTTGGAACTTGTTAGCCTGATAACCATATGTGAAATGCCTAACCAGTTCTGGGATTCCTCGCTATGGATAATGTAAGTATGCAGTTCTTGGCCATTTTTTATTAGTGTTCTTCTCATTTTCTATATTACTGTTTTAATGATTTTGTTTGATTTGCTAATAAAGTTTATAACATCTCCAGCCAAAGAATATGCTAATTTGCTCTTTGAGGTCCTCATTCTGTTGACAACTTTTCTATTGTGCCTGATTCGGAAGTAGAACCCTTTTCAAGCTAGTGTGTAGTACATAAATTCACTCTTAATCAGGCTACACAATGTATGTTCTGAACCAGTTGTGGTTTATTGTAACCCTCTAGCTTGGTGCTGTTTATACTGTGCCTCTAGAATGTAAGTTCTTAAAACTAGAAATGGGGCTCTGGCCTATGACTAGGCCTGCAAGTATGATGAGAATATAAATAACAACAACAAAAGAACCTGTTGATCACATATACCTCTCCTACTTTAGAGCTGTTATTCTCTTTCTAAATGTTGAAGCAGTTGTTAACAAAATACTGTTCGTTATTTCTCTAGGTTGTCTAGGAAGGGAACTCATTTAATTACATTTTTTTTCTCTTGTGTAAAAGGTTTTTAAAATGTTTAACTGCACTGCAATAAGTATATGGATGACACTGGTAAGTAGAAATAGAATTCCTGAGCTAATGGATTGTACCTCTTTTGCTGAGTAAGCTACTTGACAAGTGTCACATTTCCTGGGTTACAATCTGGATTGTAGAACAGCTGTGCCCCTTACTTCTTCAGTATGGTGTACACCTTTGCTGTGTGAGCTCCCTCTCTGCCCATTCACACCAACCTCTAGCATGCAAGTCACTACCAGACAAATACTAGAGTGTGGTGCCCAGCCACTCTAATTACATAATGGCTTTCACCTGCGTATCTCTGGTTCCAGCCTTGCACTCCAGAAATGTACCATTTTGTACTGCTCCATTCAGGGCCGGCCTGAGCCCTTTTGGAGCCCGGGGCCCGCCCCTGAGGCGCATGGCACATGCGCTGCCCAGCCTGGCCTGGCCAGCGTTGCTGGCGCACGCGCCAGGCCGTGCAGAGCCCTGCAGCCGTGGGGGGAAGGGCGCTGTTGGCCGGCGCTGCGGGCGGGCTGGTGCTGGAGGAGCTGGGCACGTGACCCCTGATGGCAGCTCGAAGGGACTCCGCACGCTCCTTACAGCTGCCATCAGGCGTCCCTCATCAGTTGGTGCCCTGGGCAGCTGCCCGGCTCGCCCATGCCTCTGTCCGGCCCTAGCTCCATTACTAAGCAAAACGAGTGGTGAAAGCCCATCATTTCAACTCAGAAAATGATCGTGCCACCAGTCTTCCTTACCTAATCAGTTTCCTCAAGCCCTTCAGCCAAATGCACACTGGATTAGATAAAACATTAAAGTAAGTTTATGTATTCACCACAGAGAGATTTTAAATGATTATAAGTGATGCAAACATGGAAGATCAGAGTTGATTACAGAAAGAAACAATAGGTAAAAGCCCTAAGCTGTAACCTAAAAATTAATTATCATAGCTAAATTTGAAATTAACAACTTTTCTCGCCCCTCTGAATGTTGCAGACAGTTTATATGTCATTGTACAGTTCTTCCTCCGTTCCAAAACCTTCAAGCAGGCTTGTTTCAGTAGAAATGCTGATCCTTTCTTACAGGAAAAGTCCTTGCTGTTAAATGGGGTCAGGTAATCCCATTGCTACAGCTGTGCAAATCCATGGATTCCTGCTTTATATCCACCAATATCAGCATCCATGGATCACTTCTGCAGATCAGATGCACATTTTGTAGCTAAAGCCCTAAAAATCTTCAAGGATCCATGGAACATTTTTGAGGACTGCAGATTTGATATGGATACCGATGTTTGTATCCAAGGAGGGCTCTGTCTACTGCCTGTGTGCTTTGCACTCAGACTCTCATATCAATTGCAAATTCTTTCTTACACCTTCATGAAGCATGATGGTGTTTCCAAGATAATACGCTAGTCATTTGATATTTCTAAAGAGGTCGTTTGTGGGCATTCTGCAGGCTCACAACATATTTCGGTAACGGACATATAGCTAGTCTTGTGATTCCATATACAGTGTTGATACACACATTTGACAGGGAAATAATACTCAGCTGAGCTACTTCTCCAGTGATACCTTGCAAGGCATGCTTTGTGCAAGATTTATCATCATTTTGTAAAAGTGCTGACCATAACAGTGTGTGCTGTTATGACATCTTAGTTTTGGATACTGCATAATCACGCCAAGTGACAGACTAGTTGGCTTGTCACTCTCACACCAGCACACAATGAATACGTTATGCTGTGGTTTTTTTTGAAAGGTAAATGTATACTATGCAAATGTCATTGCTTGTTCATGACTGAACTGAGAGGAATGAACATTTGGAGCTCTATTAGATGCACAATTTGTGGAATGGGTTGATAAGATTGACTTTACTCTGTACTTGTTTCCTAATCATCACTGCGTGCGTGCGTCCGTCCCATTCTTAAAAGAACTTCCGGTCGTGTGTTTACTTTCAGGAGCTTTGGAAAATATTTCTGCAATTAAAACTCCATATTTTAGGTTACATTAATCTTCTGAGAAGCTTATTGCTTCATAAAATGTATATTTGAGATGCTTGAGTTATATAGCATCTATTAAAAACATGGGCACAAGCAGAATTTTTCTTTAAAAGCTGTCTCAAAAGAGTTTGTATAAAATTCACCATTACTAGGTGTTTAACCCTTTTATTGAACAAGAAGAGAAATCTCTTTAGGATTTCTTGGCTGAAATTATGGTCTTTATTTTGTTGCACTTCTGATGGCTGGCAGTCTAAAAGGACCCGACTCTACACTATTGCTAGCAACATGAGTCTTGCCATTGATTTCAATAGACACAGGGTCATATCCTGCAAGTACAAAAAATTGCTTCCTTTAATTAAAGAGATTGTCAAGTGTTTAGTCCCAAGTATGTGCAGCGTACTCACAGATGTTGTTGTGGACACAAAAGAGATGATGTTATGGACACAAACTTCACACAGCTGAAATTGCCAGGAAAGTAGTATCCACTGAATTACATGTTTTGCATGGACTCAGGTTATTCAGTGGAACACTTTCATCAAGTAAACTGATATTTAAAATTGATATTTAAAATTGACTTCTGCATTTTTTATGATTATAAAAGCATTTAATTCAAGTGTTTTTAATTACAATTCAGGATGAGGTTTCCTTGATGAACCATGTGCTTCAGTCTAAGCTAAAGCCTATCTCTAAGGCAATGTCTACACTACACTTCTTTTTCAGAAAAAGGAACACAAATTGCACTCCGCATTTTGCATATCTTTTTCCGATTCTTTTTTCAGAAGAGGCTTTTCCAAAATTTGGCCCATCTACAGTGGGACAAATTTCAGAAAAACCTCCTCTTTTGGAAGAGCCCTTCTTTCTTTCTTGTGAACAAGCTTTACAGGGCTTCCGAAAGAGCGGGTGTTCTCTTCTGAAAAAAAATTCAGAAGAGCAGATGCATTTCCTGGCTGAGTTTAGGTATTCCGGAAAAACTCTGTAGTGTAGACATAGCCAATAATACTTCCTTCTTCTGTCAAAGCTAAATTTTCTTTAACAGGAGTAACTATACTGCTACCAAACACTCATTAAGACAGAAGATAAATTGACAGGAGCTTAAACTTGAATTCTGGTCACCATATTGTTGTTCTTGGTTTGTTTTACCACACTAATGGTACCTTTTCTGTTTTGTTTCTCAGCCTCTGACTATGGATTGTTCTTGTCCGATGAAGATCCTCGGAAAGGTATTTGGTTAGAAGCTGGAAGAACACTGGATTATTACATGCTGAGAAGTGGGGTATGAAGAATTCTGTCATTTTTTTACCAGCAGATTTTGAAGCAGTCATTTAGTACAAAGAACTGTAGTCCTTGAAAAGCATTTTGATGCTAGGACAAAACACTTTACCCTACGGGTGTCAGATTTGGCAACCACTGTACAACAGGGTACCCTGTTAAAATAATTAAAAATACTCACTAATTTTTGGATTGTCAAATATTGGTCATTTTAACACCCAGGCATGTACATTGGGGTTTACTCATCTCATCCCAAAGAAGGAATTATCCTTTCTCTGTCACATGACAGTCAGAGTCAGAAGTGAATTGATATTTTTAATAGGATTTGATTTCCTGGGGTTGTGATTCTCTGCTGAGCCTTTGGGAGGTGCCACTGTATGAGAGAGGGCTCAAGTGGCTTTAAGCCACCGTGATGCCCGCCAAGTCGTGGGCTGCTCCAGGGGTCATAGAGACTGCCGATGTTACTTGGGTAGTCCTTGGGACTTTGGTCAGAACTTCTGTGGTGCTGCATCCTTTCCCTGACCCTCCCTTCCTAATCCTACTTCCAACCCAATGTGTCCCATATGCCAGGGCTTGTGAGGGGTCCTCAGCACCATTATGGCTGGTCTTTGGTGTTAACTGGGGAATCTGGAAGAAGAGTGTACAGTTTTTGAAGGATCATTTTCTGAGCATGACTGTGTATTATGCTGCAGTGTCCTGTGTAACTTTCAGTCCGATGTAAGTTTGCCAAGCAGGTTATGGAAGGCCTGAGGAATAGGCTTTACTAGAGTCACTAACACTGCTTTGAAATAAAAGCAATGGTTGACTGTCAATACTAGAGACAACCCTTGATGCAGACAACAAACTTGAACAGTTTATCTAAATAAAAGTTGTCTTTAAAATAATAAATAAATGTATATGTATCCAATTAAAACTTACATCTGCTCCAGTTTTCAGCTACATCAACAGCTTACTGGCTTGGGATGGTTCTAAACATGTGTAATATTCTGTGTGATTTATTCCCTAGGATATTTTGGAGTACAAAAAGAAACAGAGACCTCAGAAAATACGGATGCTGGATGGATCTGTGAAAACGGTTATGGTGGATGATTCTAAAACTGTTGGCGAATTGCTAGTTACCATTTGCAGCAGGATAGGTGAGATTTCTTGGCCTTGGATTTTGGAATAGTGTGCATGTTATATACCGTGATTATCAATATCAGCCTTGTTATGGTTGTTTGAAAATTGGTAGTGTTCAGCATCAGTTAAGCTGCATTAAAATACTCAAAATGGCTTTTTTCCCATTCTGTAAAGTATTTGCATCTTCCTTCCTGTGTGAGTCAGAGGGACTTGCACCTTAAAAGTTTTGCTACCAGATAGCACTCACCAGTCAGGGGGCTTATATTATCTGACACCTAATGTTCTAAGTATTTCAATATTTATTTCTTTCACATAGTTTTCTTTTGTGAGGTGGTGAAATAAAATTAGTTTCCTGCCTATCTAATATTTAAGCAAGCGTAGAATTTACCCTTCCATCTCATTGAGAGGCTAAGGCGTCTATTTATACTAATGTGATTACTAAAGACATAGAATCATGGAGCTGGAAGAGACCTCAGAAGGCCATCAAGTCCAGCCCCCTGCTCTAGGCAGGACCAACCCCAACTAAATCAACCCGGCCAGGGCTTTGTCAAGCCGAGACTTAAACACCTCTAGGGGATGGAGACTCCACTACTTCCCTAGGTAACCCTACATACAGGACTAGAATATGCTAGTTTCTTAATGCTGGTTTGAATTGGGTACTAACTTTAAATTTGAAATGCACATTGTAAAACTGCTACCGTTTACTGAACAGTGCAAAAATAGGTCATTTCTCCAGGCGATGAAAAATAATGGCTTTGTGGCAGGGAAGCTCAGTCACAAACATGCCTAAACACAGGACCCATATTGCTGTCACTTCTACACTTGACTGTAGTATTGTGTTCTGCTTAGGGTTGACCATGGAGCCCCCCAGTGCAGCTGGTATAAAGTATGGTCTCTTAGTCATCTTAGGCTCTCTTTCCGTCCTGAATAGCATAACTTATGCTGTCAGTGCTTAACAAACACACACAAGACAAAGAAATGAGAGCAACTCAGACGAGTGCTAAGTGCTCTACACAGTGAGGGTATGTCTGCACTATCACCCTAGTTCAAACTAGGGTGGTAATGTAGGCAACCGGAGTTGCAAATGAAGCCCGGGATTTGAATTTCCCGGGCTTCATTTGGATCTCGCCGGGCGCCGCCATTTTTAAATGTCCGCTAGTGCGGACTCCGTGCCGCGCGGCTACACGTGGCGTAACGGTAGTTCGGACTAGGAAGCCTAGTCCGAACTACCTAGTCCGTGCCACGTGTAGCCGCGCGGCACGGAGTCCGCACTAGCGGACATTTAAAAATGGCGGCGCCCGGCGAGATCCAAATGAAGCCCGGGAAATTCAAATCCCGGGCTTCATTTGCAACTCCGGTTGCCTACATTACCACCCTATTTTGAACTAGGGTGGTAGTGTAGACATACCCTCACTCTATATAGTTTCATATAAAATGCATAGTGAGGACTGACATCTGTAAAGCCCTAGAGTTGCCTAGAATCCGAGTGGTTCAGAGGCTTTTTTTGTAGTGCTCTACTTGTACTGGGCATGCTCAAATTGTTGAGTCTTTAAGGAAGTGATTGCAGGAGTTCATGACCTAGAATTCTCCATTGGGAACTTTATTTTGCTCATAATCTACTTGAGCTTCACTTGTCTACTTTTCTTGTGAGATTTAAAATTTGTAAGAAAGCAACTTTCTTCTTTGAATGCTTGCCCATGTGCATTCGAATGAGGTGCACGCACGCCGTGCACAGACTCCGGAGCCTTTTTTCCCCAGCATTATCCGTTGGGGAAAGCCCCCTTGGGGGCCCCCTTGAGTGGCACCAACATAATGGTGAATAAGTATCCCTGCTGGCCCTCCCCTCCCTCAGTTCCTTCTTGCCGCCCCTGACAGGAGCTGGCGCACTTTATCTCTCACTTTAAGTCCCAGCGTGTAGATAATGTAGTTTGCAGTTGTTCTTTATAGTGTAAATAGTTAATAAATAGTAAGATATCTAGTTTACTGTCTCTCTCCCCTCTGAGGGAGGGTGATGCCATGTCCGCAGGGTTTTAAACCTTGTGCGTCCTGTTCAAAGTCTATGCCCTGTGGGGACCCCCACGAGTCCTGCTTAAAGTGTCTGGGGGAGGGCCGTATCTCAGATTCCTGCAAAATCTGTAAAAGCTTTAAATCTCGTACTAAGCGGGGGAGAGATTCCTTCCTGCCTAAAACTGATACTTATGGAAGCTGCTCTTCAGCCGGCTTCGGATTGAGCGCTGGCGGCGTGCAGTGCACCAGCATCAGTGCGGGAAGCCCTGGTGGCACCAGCACATACCACAGCGCGGAGAAGGTCTATGGTGCCAAAGCAGCACTCGCAATCCCCGATGCAGAGAAGAGGGAGCAGACCAGAGGCAGGTTTCTGGTTAAGTAAGGACACGGGAGTCGGTACCGGGCTCATACCCCGGTAGAGGATTCTCTGCTGCGACACCGAGACTTTCCAGCCCAGGGTGAGACAGGCCCTTACAGATAGACAGGCCGTCCACACTGGAGACCTTTGCTGCCGTGACGCAGCTCATAGAGCTCATGGCCTCGCCGGTTTCATCCCCGGCACTGGCCCAGATATCTCGTCACCACTTGGGGCAGGCACATATAGCAACGGTACTAGTGGCCATGGCGGCACCAGCAGTATCCAGGCACCAGGGGCCTGGTCAGCACCGGGAACCTCATTGGCGCCGCAGTCCTCAGCGGCAACAAAGTCCTTAGCAGCAAGGCGGTGATGTTTTATATCAACAGACAGGTTGAAGCTTTTTCCTCTCCCCTTTACTAAGAAGCCCTACTCCTCTGGGATTTCTGTATAGCCCCAACAATGTTATAGCCCGGATACCAGCAATGTCTTGGCGGACACACTCAGCTGCACCTTCACCACCCACTAGCGGTCACTCAAGGGAGAGGTGTTAGAGGAAATATTCCGGAGGTAGGGTAATTCCTGGGTGGACTTATTCGCCTCTCACAGACACAAGAAGTGCCCAGAGTACTACTCTTTCCTGAGGCGGGACACCCTGGTAACCAGTTGGCTCCCAGTCCTCCCCTACGCGTTCCCCCCCATTTCCACTAGTACACAAAGTCCTCATCAGGGCAAAGGGGCATAGAGCCTCAGTCATCTTAATAGCACTGGAGTGGCCCAGGCAGCATTGGTTCCCTATCCTCTTGGACATGATCCGAGTCGATCCCCTAACCCGGCCTGCAGTTCTGGATCTGATCACCGAGGATCTGGGGGAGGGCCTCCTTTGCCATCCGAATTTTCCGTCTCTCCACCTGACCGTGTGGTTTATCCATGGTTAATGGAGGAAGAGAGGGCATGTTCAGATGCTGTAAGGGCAGTGTTGTTGGGGAGCACAAAGCCCGCCACTAGAGCCACCTACTCTGCTAAATGGAGGTGATTTTCTGAATGAGTTTTATGAAAGGGGGTGCAGCCTCTGTGAGCTGCCATCCTGCTAGTTCTCAACTACCTTCTATAGTTGCGTAAGTCAGGCCTCTCAACGTTCTCCCTGAGGGTTCAGTTGGCAGTCATCGCAACCTTCCACCTGGGAGAGGGGAGTAGATCTGTGTTTGCTAACCACATAGCCTCCATGGGATCTCAACCTTGTGCTCACCAGGCTGATGTCCCCACCCTTTGAACCGCTGGCCATGTGTTCTCTGACATCTTTCATTCAAAGTGGCTTTCATTGTGGCTAGTATGTCAGCAAGAAGGGTTTCTGAGCTCAGGGCACTGAGGGTAGACCCTCCATATATGATTTTTTCAGCAGACAGGGTACAGATGCACCTTCACCCGGCCTTCCTTCCTAAGGTGATGTCTGCATTTCATATGTCGCAGGATATCTACTTGCCAGTATTTTTTCCGAAACTCTGTGCATTCACTATATGCAAAGAGGGCGCTGGCTTTTTACTTTGATAGAACAAGAGAGTTTTGTAGGTCATCTCAACTCCTTATTTCAATAGCAGAAAGAATGAAAGGTCTGCCGGTAACGGCACAACGGTTGTCTTCTTGGGTTACATCATGTATCAAGGAATGTTATGAACTGGCAGGCAAAGTGCCGTCTTGCATCACAGGCCATTCCACTCATGTGCAGGCTTCCTCAGCAGCATTCCTAACACAGGTTCTTATAATGGATATCTGTAGAGCAGCAACACGGTCATAAGTACACACGTTTGCAGCGCACTATGCAATCACATAGCAGGCTAGAGAGGATTCAGCCCTGGGTGCTGCAGTATTACAGTCAGTCATGCCTTAATCTGTGTTATTCTCCGACCTCGCCTCCAATAGTTTTGACTAGGGAGTGTAGCCAGACAGGAACCCCCCTGTAACATCCATTTTTGCTTGCCTGGAGCATATAGGGCACACAGAACAGAAGGCCCAGGCTGCTGTGACCGTGAATGGCTGTAAAAAGAGATATGCCAATTGCTGACCAAGAGGCTGCCAAGGAGTGTCCTTGACTTAACCCATATTGATACGAACACACAGCCGTCCGCGGGGGGAGGAATCTCTCGCTCAGTAAAAAAAAAAAAAAAAGTCTAGTACTCACAATTTAGTTATCTCTCTTGCAAGTGTAAATTAACTTGAAACTTGCTTGTAAGAACTGGCGCCACAAAACGGACCAGTACAATTTGGCATCTTAAGATAAGAAAGAGGATACGGGCCCCCAGGGGTATAAAGATGGGTCCAGCAGCACATTTACTTTGAGTGTCAATTTACCATCTATCTGCTGGTCGGGTTAGGTGTTTGATCTCCCGAGGTTCCAGAGGGAACGCCCACCTCGTATTCGTCTTTCCTAGGAATTGAGAGACCGGCCCTGGCCTTACACGCTGGAGTCGAGAGGCACAGAAAGGGGTAAAAATTGTACCTGGATGTGGTCCTTTGCTTAAGTATATATATACATAGTGTTAGAGCTCTTTAAAGATTAAGCTGTCACTTGGTACCATTATTTCTATTTTCTATCTTTACCTTTTTCCTGTAACCATTTTTAAGACCTATATATATATTTGCTAG